GTGCAATGTAATGTACGGTAATGTAATGCATGTAATGTAATGTAATTCAATGTAATGTAATGTAATGTAATGTAATGTAATGTAATGTAATGTAATGTAATGTAAATGTAAATGTAATGTAAATGTAATGTAATGTAATGTAATGTAATGTAGTGTCGTGTAGTAGTGTAATGTAATGTAATGTAATGTAATGCAATGCAATGCAATGCAATGCAATGCATGGATGGATGGATGGACGGATGTATGCATGCATGCATGCATGCATGCATGCATGCATGCATGCATGCATGCATGCATGCATGCATTGTATACATGCTAAAAAATGCATGTATGTATGTATACATACATACATACATACATACATATATGTATATGTGTATATTTTATATATTTATTTCCAGAATACTTACATGTGTATTTAATCATGGAGCTCCTAACAACCATATGCGTATGGGTTTGTAGAGCCATATGTCCACCAGGGTAGCCGCTAGCTCCCTTCCCAGATGACAATTGCGCTGGCCCGCCGAAGTGCCTCTCAGCTGTAAGGGAGTGCCGAGGACCGTGATTAACTCTTAGAGTTTAGGGGTTATATGGGGTTAGGATTGTAGTTTAGGGTGTATGGGTAGGCTTGCTTTTAACGGTTTAGGGTTGAAAAGTTCTCGTCATGTGGATCTTTCTGGCTCGGATTGTGGGAGTTTGGTGTCGTCGTCTTGGTTGTTGCAAGCACCAAGTGATATCTCGAAAATCTCTCCCCAGGCAACGACTACCCACGAGGATGGCTTGACAGTTGGGGTGACTCCTGCGCCGTCTACGCCAACAACCTCTACTGCACTGAGACAGGCGGGGGGCTCTAGATATATATATATATATGTATATATATATATGTATGTATATAGAAGTATATACTGCAAGTGCTTCGGTGCCCGGATTCCGCAACCTCGGCAACCTCCTGACTGCGCGAAGCTCTGGGGATTTAGCGGCTCCGGCTCATTTCTGAAACTTCTAAGCCTCTAGGCACTGCCCAAAGACCATGTTGGGTGCAAGAAATTTTACGAAAGATGTTGCGATAGGGAATCAGGTTTTCAGCTGCTATCAGGCAGAGGTCACAACAGTTCATGGCCAATTCTGCAGAAACCACTCCGGGTGCTTGCCAGGAGTTGACTGAATTGCATTCTCGGGAATGCTAGCGCATCATAGTATATTATGCAGTACATTACAGTATGCTATGGTGTTATTGTAGTGTAAAAAACAGCACTCGTCGTTGTCATCCCAGAAGCTGTTCGGTCGCAGGCGAACCCGGGCCTGGCTGGCAATGGTTCTGGGGCAGCTTCCGGGACTACCGCAACCATGGCCACACGGCTGACACGGCCTGCTGTGCGTGTGGGGGTGGAGCGCAGTCCGTTTCCACGCCGGAGACTTCCCGGACTTGCTCAAATCCTACGGAGGGTCCTGATGCAGATGGCGACGGAGCAGACGACTGCGCTCCCTCACCTACGATTGCGCCGCCGCTGCCACCAACAGAGACATCCACTGCAACGACGTCCATGACGACCACCGGGTCCATCAGTACGATCCGACCCACGACTGAAACGGCGACTTATGTCAGCGGCACCACGACCACACAAGCTTCACGAACAGAAACACTGACATCCACCCTTCTACCACAACGAACTAGCACGTCAGCTCAGGTCGATGTTGGCCTTCCGATCACCGAAACCCAAACTTCGACTTGGTTCGGCCAAGTTGACAGCACCACGGAGACAGCAACTGCAACTCTGACGCGATCTGAAGGCCCAGCAGCCACCAGCACCAGCCTCAGCACAAGCTTCACCACCTCAGCGACTGCATCCAGAACTGTTTCGTACACCTCGACGTCAGGATCAACCACCACAAGTAGCTCATCCAGCTGGATTTCGACAACTTCGGGAACATCCACTAAAACAGTTTCCACAACTGGAACGACAGCCACCGTCTCCAGCTCTCTGACTACCACAGCCTCCACCACTTTGACACCCACCACGGTCACGGCCACGTCCTCGCTCACACTCACTTCGACCCGGACGGAAACTATATCAAGTTCCACAGGGACGGAGACGACCACAAAGACCACTAGCAGTACGAGTCGTTCAGGCACCAGCTCCTCAAGCAGTAGCACCAAGACCTTGACTTCAACAGTTTCTCGAACAACGTCCGCAACGGCCACATTGTCAACTACCTCCCTCTCTGTCTCCTCGACAATATCTAGGACAGAGTCATCTTCCACCACATCTTCCTCGACGAGCACCTCCGTTTCCAGCACAACTGTGTCAGGAACCTCGACAGGCACAGGCACCGCCACTTCGACAGGTACCAGTTCAACATCTACGACATCCACGTTAACGGAAACTGAGACGTCAAGCATCAGCCAGACAAGCAGCACCAGCGTGACGTCGACAGGTTCCTTCACAACCTCCGTCACGAGCAGCTGGACGACAACCAGCAGCAGCTCAACATCAACAGCGTCGTCAAGCACCACAGAGACGAAGACTACATCTGCATCGAGCAGTACAAGCTCGATAACGGCTACAACCACCAATACCATCACGAGCTCCACAACAAGCCAGAGCACCACCACCACATCCACTAGCAGTTCTTCCAGCAGCAGTGTTTCCAGCACTTCCCAGACTAGCTCCAAGACGTTCACTGAGACCACCACCACCTCGCTCACGAGCAGCAGCACGACCACCAAAAGTAGCTCCCTCACATCTACCACACAGACTTCCACAAGCACATCCAGCAGCTCAAGCACTTCCAGCAGCTCATCCTCGACCTCAGCATCGAGCAGCATCAGCAGCTCCACGTCTTCGAGCACCCAAACGAAGACCAGCACGAGGACGGAGACTGTTACTACGACGGGCACTGTCAGCACCACAACTTCGTCCTTTAGCACAACAACGAGTGGAACCTCCACAGGCACTAGCACTACCAGCAGCCTTTCCAGCAGCACTAGCAGTACAAGCACTTCGTCTTCTACCGCTTCCTCCACCTCCGTGTCTTCAAGTACATCTACAAGCTCTTCCTCCAGCTCGATGTCTTCCACATCCGAGACGACCACAAACACCATCACTCAAACGCTCACCTCCAGCTCCTCCCGTACAGAGTCGACTTCCACTACCTCAACTACAGCATCTTCAACGACATCATGGTCGGCCACCACCACATCAAGTAGTCGGACTACGACGACAACCCAAACCACCAAAACGACGAGTTCATCTACCGAAACTTCCACAAGTAAGACATCCAGCAGCACCTCCAGCACAACCACTTCTTCCACTACATCTTCGTCAAGCTCCTTTACGACATCGCAAACGACCACAGCAACCAGCACATGGACCATCACCCCGACCTCCACTACATCTGTGTCTTCCACGAGCACCTCCAAGACATCCACCTCCATCACCTCAACCATCTCCACGTCTCTGACATCCACGAGCGCTACGCTAACTTCGACGAGTACCACGACGCAAAGCAGAGCCTTGGCATGGCAATGGCTCAAGAGGTTTTAGCTGCCGGCTTGTAACTTGCAGGAAGTCGCACCGACAATGTAACACCGCGTTCGCACAGATAGTGCTATGGCGGGATGTCGACAGAGGGAGGCTTCATGGTGTGCTTTCGACTTGCGCAATCTCGGGGTTGACGCATTGGTTGTCTTTTGGCAGTGCCAACAACGAAAGCAGTCGCAAGACTCATGTTGGTGGATAGTAGGAACTCGCATCTACCAAGGTACAACGAAGACCTCTTCCCGGACATATACAACCACGACGACACTTACCAGCACATCTTCATCGAAGACCACCACCGTGTCTGACACTAGCATCGTGTCGTGATTCAGTCGTTGGACCAGCACCAGGTGGCAACTGTTCGTGTGGATTTTCGTGCAGAGAAGGAGTTCTGGCCTCTGACCGAGCTAGTTTTGTAACAGCTCTCATCATACGCCACAGGTACAGTGACTTCCACGGTGTCCTCTACAACCTCTGTTACAGACACGACAAAGACCTCCTCCAGCAGCACCGTGAGCTCGGTGACCACGACATCGGCCACTGCAACCACCACATCCAAGACGCAAACATCATCCACCGTCAGTGCTACTTCTACCAGCATCAGCAGCACAAGGACGGGAGTATGTGCGAGATTGGGACGGCCATGTTGGCCGTTTTTCCCGTGGTGCATTTTCTTTCTGGGAGCGTTGCATAAGAAGAAGCAGAATCCCGAGTCCTGAAGCTCATTTCCTCTTCAGGCCTTCTACCCTGATGTACGACAAGTACTTGTCACTGTCCTTTGTATGAGACCTTATAGTAATGATAATAAACAATAATGATAATGATAATAATAATATAAGTATTATAATTATTGTTGTTTTGAAGAGCCCGAAGTTTCTCACATCACCCAGACCAGCAACCCTAAACCCTAAGCCCTGGACTATCTTGCGCCAGAGCTAACGTCGAAAGCACCAGGCGCGCCTTGCCGACCTGGCCTGGCTAATCTTATGTTGGATCAGATTAGAGGATCATGTTAGTCCCCAACCCCCCTACACCCTAAACCCTAAACCCCCAAACCAGTCCTTGCTAAGTGGGAGGGAAAAAACCCCAAACCCGTTATCTTCGATGGAACTTCAGAGTCATTCGAAAGCCATGGCCTCTCGGAGCTCCCGATACCTAAGCGCAAAAGCCAGGAATGTCGGACGGCCGTTTGGCCCGCGCATCTCTGCAATAGTGGAGCCGTGTGCACCATAAAATACGACAGCACAGTATAATGTACCATAGTATATTTGTGTTGTGCTATAATGCACCCTGCACGATGATATCCCACAACATACCATAATGCATTACAATGTACTTTATATAACAATAATACTGTAACAAGGAACCACATACTATACTACATTATATGGCTCCTCGAGAGTTGAGCCCATTTGATGGTCAAAGTTGTCTGTTAGTCTACAGACTTAATAGCCCTAGCTAAACCCTAAACTCCAAAGCCCTAAATCCCTTAAGCCCTAAACCCTCGAACCACACGCCTCTCCGAGCGTGAGCGCCGAAACCCCGAAACCGGTGTTGTTGGAATGGCAGCCATACCCTCAGTCAGCGAAGTTCCCTTCCGCAAGGACCTCGACATCAGGCACAGTCACCTCGACTACTGCGCCGCCTGGCAAAGAAAGCAGTACAAAAAGTGTATGATAGTACTTGATGGTATCCATTTTTTGCACACTATCGTACATAATGGTATGCCGTACAGTATTTTGGTACGCTATCATGTAGGCTTTGGATAGAACGGGAACTGCCAGATTCGCCCTTCGCGGAAGTTGCGACACCTGGAGGCTTAGGTCGGGCTTGATTGCCGGATCTTACGATCCAGTGTGTAAGGTTTAGGGTTTGGAAGTCTGCGGGTCCCCGGTGGGCATGAGGATCGGGTGCCAAGAGCTGAAACCTAAACTTTGTTGTGCAAGCAAACTTTTAAGAAGCGCAGCATAGGTCAAGCACCAGCCGGACGTCCAGCTCCCAGACGATGACCACAACCTCAGTCACGACGCAAACGTTCACCAGGCAGGGGCTGCTTCAGGTTAGCAGTCATCCTTCGGATATCGCTGAATACTTTGGAGGACTCGTAGTCTTGTTAGCACCGCTTAAAGCAGAACTAGTCTCGCACTTACTACATTATAGTATTGAAGGACGCCTCCTTTCGCTGCAGACTTCTAGCTCAGAGTTCCACGGGTTCTCTCTTTTGTCCATTTATTGTCGAGTCTTCGGAATGGTGGTGAGAGCTCGGCTGTCTCTGGGAAGTGCACTCCACAGCGAGTAGGGCCAGCCTTGTGGATGGGACGGACATGTGATCAGAAGCATCAAGTGGAAAGCGCAGCGCTGATTGTATTTTGGGCCGAGGAATGCACCCCCTGTGATGATTATGAGCGAGCCGGAGCCTGTGCAGACGATCGAGACAACGCTGGTGGCCACTTCCCCAGCAACTTGAGTCTAACCTTCCACGCCGTAAATGTGCAACGGCGGAGATGCCGCCAACTCCCTGTCTCGAGGTTGACATCCCTACATAATTACGCATAACTACTATAACATACTAATGGTTATAGTGCTTTCGGTTCTTTAGTCATGTCGTGCAAGTATCGGTATGCTGTCCTTGCCAACCCCCTACATAAGCCCTTAAGCTGCGCAGTAGCAGCGCTACTGCCCTTGTTCACGTTAATGAGGAGCCCATACCACCGTCGTCGTCCCCATCAGAAGCCCGAACCTGAAAGCCCGGCTAGCACCCCACACCCTCAAACCCGACACCCAAAGCCACAAAGCCCGAAACACGGTTGAGGTGGTGGGAACGAACACCACTTCGCCCGACTTCGAGTCGACGATCGTATCTTCCATCTCAGCCATCTTGGGCGTAGACCCGCGACGTTGCGAGGCCGCAACTGTCATAGTGGCAGTCGTAGCCGCAGTTCCTGTCGTAGCAGTAGCAGTAGCAGTAG